AAATATAATGGGTGTCAATGTCAATATAAGTAAAAAATGCTGAATTGACAAATGTTTTCATATATATATTGGGAGGGTGGAGGGACAGCCCAAGGGAGGAAGACTCTCGTGAAATGGATTGATTCCGTGTCTGGGGTAGTAGGTGTGTCAGAGATAATAAGATTTGCACAGGATAGAGCAGGGTTTATGACTATTGTACATAGGGTCTCTATGAGTCACGGGCAACTCAGCTTCACATAACAACAACAACAACAACAGATATATTTACCACAATGAAAAAAACCCAACAACATTGGGGCATGGGCAGAGGATTTGACACACCAGTCTGAGGGAACAGCAACCAGAAAAGCACTGTGTGTCTCTGAGGGGTTCGTGAACAATCAAGGAGACATTGGAAATTGGGATGGGAAGAAGGGATGCTCACATCATGCAGAAACAGTGGACTGTAAAATTCTGACCTTGGGAATCTGCACACAGATCCCCCAAGAGTCAGGAACTGCAGCCTCTATCCCATAGAAACCTCTGGAACATGGGCTCATCCCTAGGGAACGTATTGCACTAAATCAGGAATACCCAAGGGTGAGGTGCTACTGGTTGTCTAGTAAGCAGGGACCAAGGATGATCCTCAACATCTTGCATAATTGCACAATTGCGATGTCATGGATTTATCATTCAAAATGGCTTTCCTAGCCATCAGGTCTGACTTTACCCCGAAAAAAGCTCTGACTTTTTCTGACAAGGTAGGAACTTGTTGCTGTTATGTGTCATCGAGCCAACTATAACTCACAGCCACCCTTTGCATAATAGCTCTGAACCTTGCTCTATCCTAAGCCAATCTCACTGTCTCTGACACACCTACCCTCATTATGCCAGTTACTGTGTCAATCCATCTCATCTGAGGTCTTCCTTTCCTACACTGTCCCTCCATCCTTTCAAGCATGCTATCCCTCTCTCAGGACTGGTCCCTCCTGGCACATGTCCAAAGTATGTGAAATAGAGCCTCTAAACCTTGCCTCCAAGGAACAGCTTGGTTTCACTCTCTTTAGGACAGACCTCTTTGTTCTCTTGGTAGTCCGTAATATGTTCGATATTCTTTTTCAGCTCCATAACTAAATTTTTCTTCTGTCATCTTTGGCACAGCAAATAATTGGGAAATTGGGTAGGAACTTATGGTGTGTATAAATGAATCATAGGATTGCTCAGGTGTTTTGTTTTGTTTCTCCGTTTCACCAAGTTGAAACTGAACAGTAAGAATTTCATTACTAGCAAGGAGGAGGAATCAGAAAGTACAATATGTCCCTGTTATGGCCAGAAATTCTGCTCTAGTCAGAGCAGGACCTACACAGGAGCAGCGGCAGCCTCAGTAGAGACTTGACTTGAGACAAAGCTGATTTGGGACTGCTGCCGCATGGAGCCAGACCCAGGGGCCTTTGTCCAAGCTTGCAGCACGATTGAGGGAAATATCATTATTAGTAGGACTAAGGGAATTTTGTTGGGCACTCTCGAGGCCTGCCGTGGTAGGAAGTTGTACTGCAATCCCAAAAGCTCCTCCTCTGTGATTAACTGTCTCAGAAAACATGCTGGAGGGTCAGCTATGGGTCTGTTCTGACTCAACAGCACACAATAAGAGAACTTTGTAATATTGATCCAAGCCTTTTGGGTGTACTAGATGCTTAAGAACCTACCTTGACTTGAGGAATTGCATACTGCTGCCAATCTGAATTCTAATCATTAACTTCCCTGGTAAATTTCATAACTGTGAGTAAGGTTCTGTGAGATCTGTGTGGCCATTGCAATGGATCTCGGACACTGTACATGATTGGAGTTGGAATTAGTATATACATAAGTGTGGGAGTGTGGAGGCCACGTCTGACCTCATGGAATTTGGTTCTTTGCTATGGATGTTGCTGATGGGGCAATAGAATACCCTTTGTGAAATTAATAGAGGTCAGCAGTGACCATACTCACACTGGCCTCACTCTTTGTAGAATGATATATAGGACAGCGTGCCCAGTGTTTCCCTCTCTCTGCTAAAAAGTCCAAAACGTCAGAAGTAATATTTTAAGAAACACTGCTCTAAGGAAAATTCCATTGTTTACATTACCTCTGACCTCTTGTTATTCTAAATGGTCAGCCCCTAGCCTCAACTGTGAAGGGTCCAGAAGGCCAGCCTCCCTGAACTGCCTGGTCCAGGTAGCCACACAGTGACTGAGACTTTCCATCTCAAGTTCTTGGAACTGGATGCTTCACAGCCCACCCTTCCTGCTGAAGAACTTCCTCTTTTGACCTGTTCCAACCTTGGCCTCCAACAGCCCCTAATCACTCTGCCCACGCTCTCCCCTTGTACTGTCCAGGCTGCTCGCCCAGAATCCTTGGGAATGTTCCTGACCTTTCCTTTGGTTTCCTTCAGTTCTTGGCAGCCTCTGATCAGCCCCATGTTCCCAGCTCAGCCTGCCTCAGCTCTCCACTGCTCTCCATTATTTCACCAACCCTCCTTTTCGAGGCAATGCTGGTACCCTCAAAGCCAGTCTACGGAGGGTCAGTGGGTGCAAGGAGTCCTCTAGCCTGCTGTGCCTCTACCCTTGGCCTCTGACACCCCTGCCTCCACTGATGCCTCACTGACCTCTTAAGGCTTCCAAGGATCTGAGAAGCCTGGGCTTTCATCCTCTCCCTCTTTTGGACACTCAGTAACCCAGAGCATGGCCCTCCGCAACTCCTGACAGCCTTGGAAATTGTGAAAGATTCCCTGAAGGTACAGAGGAGGGGCTTAGGGAAGGTAGAGAGTGCCCTGAGATGGAAACGCTGTCAGGAGTCTCCTGAATTATGTGGGTGAGCCTAAGTGGCTTTTCTAAAGCCAGGAGAGAGAGGCTCACTCCCACATCTTTGCTTTCTGAGGTCTCCATGCTAGCGTGAACTCACAGGGCTTGCCCTTGAGTCAGGAAAAGAACTTAGCAGAAGGACTGCAGCCCCCTTGGTATCCAGCCCTGGTCTGGGCTCTTAAGACAGGCATCTGTTCACAGTGGGCAGGGGTAGGGAGGGCTGGAGCTGCAGTACAGACCAGAGACTGCAGCTTGGGCTCCCAGCCTGCCCCTGTATGACTTATACAACTGCCCTCTTGGAAAGGTGGGATGGGGGAGCTGGGAGCCCACACTCCTAACTCCTCCTGGCAAGCTCACACAGGCCTGCTAATAGAGCAAGGCTGGGTATAAAGAGCCCCAGCTGAGCCTGCACTTGGCCACACACCATACCCCTAAAAGCCAAGAGGGAGTAGAGTCCCCTCCTTGGGGTCCAAACGACAGCTGTGCACCAGGCCAGGTTGCAAATGGCCTCAAGGGACAAAGACAGCCACATGTCTCCTTCAGTGTGTGGTCCACAGGGCATGGGGCATCAGTCACCAAGTTAGCCTTGCTCTCCTTCCCAAGGGTTTGCCTGGCCCTATGTCTGGGGCCTTGCTGCCTCTGAGCTCAGGACACAGGGCAATGCTGGGGGCTGCCTAGCCCATGTAGCTGGATTAGAATGCAGACAGCAAGGGGCCTGTTTGTACTGCCCCCTCTTTCCTATCCCTTCCCCTCCTCCTCTCCCTTCACAGGAGAACAGGAAGTAAGGTTTCCTTCCCTTCTCACCAGCTCCTGGAACCTTGACAACTGGGCCTGACCTGGGGCGGCCATGGTGGGCCTGGGGGGTGAGGCAAGGTCATTGTGGAAGGACACTGGGGCCATGGCCTTGTGGAGTCCAGGTGCTCCCAGGTCCTGCTCACACTCTTACCCCATGCCTGGTTGCCCAGTGAGATGCCAAGTGGGCTTCCATGGCTCCTGACAGGCAGGCCTTCCTCCCTAGGAATGCTGCAAGTCTCACATCCATAAGTCAGGAAAAGGCATCCTTCCCAGAAGTCTTGAAACCAAATGGGGTGACTGGATTTCCCCTCCTGCGTTCCAGCCCTGAGCAGAACTGAGGATGGCCTCAGGTCTCTAAGCTCATCTCCTCCTTGCACTTGCACGCCTGTGATCTTGTCCTTATCCTCCTTCCTTGTCCACACATCAAACCCCACAAACACACTCCCCTCAGAGTGTCAGAAGCTGAACATGAGGCAGATGGGGCAGAGGGGCTCCTGTGTCAGAGCAAAATGAGGCCCAGGCCCTGCACAGCCCTCCTTGGTCCTCACCAAGGGCCTCTCCCAAGACCAGTGTGTGAAAGGAGGGAGGGGCCTATGAGTGGCCTCCAGCCACTGAATACCCCAGGGACCGCCTGAGCCCTTAGCTCAACCTGGAGTCCTACTTTGGGCTCTCCTTCATTGTGTGACCTTGGGCAAGCTGCTTCCCCATTCTGAGCCTCAGGCTTCTCTGTAAATGGACCCTCTAGAGGGATGAACTAAGATAGCATGTGGCCAGGTCCAGCACATTTTCTGGTTGGAAGTGCAGAAGGTGAGTTTCTCGGGCCAGCCTTGGGCCCTGAGGAGGGACTCAGACTCTGGCCCTTGACAGATTAGTGGTTGGAAATGTTGTCTTGGGTCCAGTTCCATTTTCTTCAGGGCCCTAAGGCCCGCCAAGTCCCAGGATCTCTGGAGATCAAGCACTTGCCCCAGAATCTGTCCCCATGGGAAACTGGTCTCCCCATCAGGAGCCAACCTAGCCTACAGGTCCCCTGCAAGCTCAGCTTTCAGAATGGATTTTCTTCTAAAGGAAGGAACTGACTGTCCCCCTAGGAGACAGGGTAAGGATTGCCTTGGTACCGAAGACCCCAGCCAGGTGTCTGAAGACAAAGAGCTGCTCTTATCCTGTCTGAAACTGTGGCTGATTCCCTGATGAGGTCAGGTAGGAAAATCCCAGCATTCATACATATCCCTGGGGGGAGCCCAGCCTGGCTTGCTGGTTGGCTGGAGGGGAGCCCACACCAGCCTCCCAGTTGCCCCCCCATTTCACAAACGAGACACTTGAGGCTGTAGCACAACTGGGATGGAATCTTAACTCCACCACCTCCCCTGAGGCCCAGAGCCTCCTTACCGTCTGCTGGGGTCCCCGATGGTGTCCTCAGCCTCTGAACCCCAGGTCTCAGGCTGCCTAGGTGTGTGTGGCCCAGCAGAATGGGCACCAGGAGCCAGGGTACAGGCCCCCAGCAGCCCCCATGCTAGGGGCCCTCCCAAGCCAAGCAGTAGCATCAGGAGCATGTCTGCCACTGGGCAAGGTCGGGCTCTGTTTGGCCAAGAGGCTCCAGAAACTACTCATGACATCACTCTCAAATCAAGTCTCCAAAGGAAAAGAAAACATGAGGACAACAAAGAGAGGAAGTGGCCTGGGCTGGCCCACTGGTGGGCCCCCTGCCCCCACCGGCTCAGAGGCTGCCAAGACTCCAACAACAGGCTAGTTCCTGTGCCTGAGGGGCTTGGGGTCAGGGATATGGTGGGGAAGGGCCCAGGGAGGTAGCCCACAAACATGCGCCCTGGGAGCAGAAAAGCACAGCTTTGTACAGGGTGTAGGAAGTGGCAGGCCAATCCTGGGGGCCGATGGTATGCACTGGGGTGTACTGTGTATTCAGCACTTGTCAGCACTCAAAGCTGGGAGCAGTAGGGGGAGGAGCTCAACAAGGGAGAGAGAGACCTTTGTGAGCCCTTCTCCCTACTGCACCCTCTGGTCTCTCTGGTCTCCTGGGATGGAAGCCCACCATGTACGTGTGAGTGGTGGGTAGTGTGGTGTCACTGTAGGGCCTGAGACCAGCCCTTGGGGCACCAGCATGGGCTCCTTTCTTCTCTGTGCCACTCTTCCTCCCCCAGGTAGGGTGGTCATGGGGACAAAGTGGAGTGCTGGAGTGTTCCTGCCCTCAGGAAAAAGCAGACAGAAGTGAAGACTGATCACATTGTAAAAAGTGGCAGAGCAGGCTAGGGCGGGGCCGGCTCTTCCCTCCCTCCTCCTCTCCCTGCCTCTTTCCCTCTCTGCCTCTGTTCTCTGGCCTGGCTGGGTTCCAACTGGTCACTGCATCAATATTTCATCAGCATCAATAAGAGCAGAGAGACATAAGAGCAGCACAGTGGTTGCAGCCCGCACACCAGCATCAGCCACACAAAGGCCCGAGCTCCATCCCTGTGCTCCACCATGGATGTCTTCAAGAAGGGCTTCTCCATCGCCAAGGAGGGCGTGGTGGGGGCTGTGGAGAAGACCAAGCAGGGGGTGACTGAGGCAGCCGAGAAGACCAAGGAAGGGGTCATGTATGTGGGTGAGTGGGGTGCGGAAGGGTGGGACCAAGGGCGTGGAGTTGGCGGTGCTGACAGCTGAACTCCCTCTGGGCTGAACTTCCTCTCAGGCTTAGTGAAGCATGGGGACTGGGAATGTGGGGGTCTCCTTGCTGAGCCAGGGTCCTCGAGCTCTGTCACCCTTTACCGTCTGTCCCTCTCCCCACATGTAGGGTGGGCATGGGGACTAAATGGAGTGATGGGGGAGGGAGACTTGCACCTGTTTTTCAGGGTCACTTTGCCTCTAGCCTCCTGGGGGGCTGTCTCTGGGACAAAATAGCAAGAGGTGACTCAGACAAATGCGTGCACACACAGTAGAGCCTGGCTTAATCCTCAGGTCACCCTACTGACCAGCTGCCACCTGTTTGCTCACATAACAGCAGCATGCACAAGCACACAACACTGCCACTGACCTGACCCAGCATCCTCACAGGCCCCTAGACTCAGGCAGTGAGTGGTGGTAAGCCTGGAGTCCTGCTGTCCTGGCTCCGCCCAGACCCAGCCATGTTGAGAGCCGACAGGGGCTCAGGTGGGCACTCCTGTCTCTCCGCTCAGACGTCCCAGCAGCTAGTCCACAGGTCCCCACCCTGTGAGGAGACACAGGGAAGGGATAGGCCTTGGGAAACAAGGTTCATCTCCTGACATACCGCCCTCAACCCCTCAGAAGAGAAAAGGCTGAGCGAATGACTCAGCTCTCAGCTACTGCCTCTGGGCTCTGGGCAGGGGTCTGCATGCTTGACCAGCCAGCTCAGGCCCCAACCTCAGGTCTGGTCTTTTTATTTCCCCAATCCTGTCTTGTCCCTTTCCTGACCTGTCCACTTCCTTTGGACACTGCAGGAAGCAAACCTTTGAAGGGGCTCCAGACACTCTCTCTCCACCCTCAGACAGATGTTGAGGGGTGTATTTACCCTGACCCCATCATTCCTTAGTTGATGCCTCCATTTCCTTCTTAGGAGCCAAGACCAAAGAGGGGGTTGTACAGAGCGTGACTTCAGGTAAGGAGCCCCCAGGACAATAGGACAGGAAGCTGGGACCACATAGGATTCTTATCCTTTAATAGTGAGCTTTCAGATCTAGAACTGGACCCCTAATTCCTACATTAGCCTAGATCCCCCAGACCCTGGGACTAGACCCTAAGAGAGACGTGCCCCTCATCATTCTCAGAGCTTTATTCATGCCGGGGAGACTTGGGGGCTGGGAGGGCCAGAGTCTCCCTGGGAGAGCCTTGCTGCCTAGCCTAATGGGGAAGCCTAGGACACAGGCTTGCTGAAACCGTCCCTCACAGTTGCTGAGAAGACCAAGGAGCAGGCCAATGCAGTGAGTGAGGCCGTGGTGACCAGCGTCAACACTGTGGCCACCAAGACACTGGAGGAGGCTGAGAACATTGCAGTTACCTCCGGGGTGGTGCGCAAGGTGAGCCTGGCCCCATGTTTTCCCAGGAGTCACAGTTACCCTACAGGACATGTGGAAAATCGACCCTTGGAGGCTGGATTCTGCATGCCAGGGGGAGCAGATGGTTCCAGGCTCACTGTTGATGTGGACAATGAGGTCTAAAACCACTTCCTCCAGAAAACAATCAGCATTTAGGAGCTATCACATTTGACAAGTGAATGGGGTCATGTGGACCTCACACGCCTACAGGAAGCCTGGGGCAGTGGGCATCAGGCTGGAGCTGCTGATTCACACTCCTCACGCCCCACCTGCAGGGAAACCTCTTCCTGAGAGCTGGGGCAGCAGCGCCCCCTGGTGATGGGAGAGCAGAGAGGGCGAGCCCCACCCTGCACCTAAGTGTTTGTGTGTTTACCACGGGGCAGCCAGGAGCACACAGATGCCCTTCCAGGAGGTGAATGCGGCGGGCTGGCCAGGAGAACTGCCCAGACATTCACGGGATTGAGCAATTCAGATATATTAGCTCATTTAAGATGCACAAAAATGAGTGAGGATGTGGAAACTGAGGCCAGGCAAATGAAGTAATGGGCTTAAGACCACACAGCTACTGCTTCATTCAGAATTTCCATGGCAGCCTGGTTTCCACCTGTGTCTGGTATCGCTGGGGACTGAGGTTCTCCAGCTTGCTTACTATGTAGGTGGAGTTGCAGGTTCCCACTGACTGGGCAAGAGGGTAGTAACTTTGCCTACTCTTGGCTTGGGGTAGGGGGCCTTGTCTGCTTCCACGGATTTCCAAGAGTCAGCATAGAGTCTCTGCATCCTTTGGAGAAGGCAGTTGCTCCCCTCTCTGGACTCTTAGCTCTGCCTCTTCCTCACTGTTTCACCTGGAAAAGTTACTTAACCTCAATAAGGGTGAAAATGTGTCAAATTGGGCTATGTCTATATGAGTCAGGAAAATGGGTCACATAAAGCTGAAAGACCTGGCTCATGATGCACACAGGCAAGTGATGGGGACAATACTGTCATCATCAGAGAGCCTCCTGAGCAGGACCCACAGTGGGGACAGTTCAGGAGACAGCAGGACCAGGGAAACCTCTCCCTTCCTGCCCTCCAGCAAAAAGGGTCTCGGGTAATTCAGGGCTAGTGCCACCTGGGTGGAGAGGCTGTCACATGCATTTCCTGGTGACACCCAAAAACTAGTCACAGTTCACCCCATGGTGAACAGCAGAAAGGTATTGCCATCCCTGGTTGACCACACAGATGCCCTCCCAGGACAGGAATGCCACTGGGCTGGCAAGAAGAATTGCCCAGGCATTCAAGGAATTGAGCTGCTGGCCACATCTGTCACCTCGGAGTAACAGGGCCTAAGGCTGCCTGCTCAGCTGTGACAGAGTCTGGGCCCAGCAGGGGTGTATGATCATGTGATTCAGGGACAGGGCTTCTACCTACCCTACCTTATCCAGGATTGGGGTCCTCATCAAGATGGCTGGGGGCATGGGTGCCCCAGAAGCCCATCCCAGTACCAAACAGGACCCAGCTGTGGCACCCTAATGGCTTCTGCCTTCGTAGTTAGCATGACCCTCATATTTCCTTTCTCTTTGACCTCTCCATCTTTGAAAGCAGGACAGCAGGGGGCACCCATGACCTTCTAATAGTGTCTCCTCCTCTCTATATTCAGCAGGACTTGGGGCAACCTGTGTGCCCCCAGGAGGAGGAGGCAGCCAAAGAGGAAGAAGGACTGGCTGAAAAGGTAGGAACTAAGCAGAGGGCACCCAGCCCCACTCATCCTCATCTAGTGAGTGTCCCTGGATAAGTCCCTATCCAGATGAGGCTCCAGGCAGGAGCTCCCACCCACCAAAAACGTGCTTCCCTCCTGGGATTCACAGCTCTTGCAGGTCCCCTCTCTTTTGCTACCCTCTAGCGGGGCCTATAGACGGGGCCAGCTCTGAGCCTGAGTGTGAGGTCACAGATGATGTCCTTCTTCCTCCTGCTCAGCTTGGATCCAGGAGGGGCCCTGGGCAGAGCCCGTGCATGAAGGCTGTGTGTTTGTGTGATGTCACTCTCTCTCCCAGGTTGAGAGCAGGGGAGATTAGAGTGCCAGAAGCTGAACAGGAAGTCCAAGGGCATCACCCCTCTGCCTTGGACATCTCCTCCTGTCACTGGGACTGCTGGTCCTGGGAGCCCCTGCGGGCCTGCACTGCTCCTGGCATCCAGGCCTGTCCTTCCACACTGTTGTCCAACTGCTTTACCTCCCTACCACCTCCTGGTCCTCCAATCTCACAGATGCTGCTGTGAATTTTTGTTTAGTTTTGCTCTTTATGATTCTAAATAAATCTCAAGTCCATATTCCCAGCCATGTAGCCCTGTGTTTCCTCTCTGTTGCTGCCTTGTTTGTAAAGGACCCCCTTTGGCCCTGGACAGGAACCAGGTCGAGGAAACAGCTTCTGGGTTGGGTGCTCTATGGGAACACACCAAGTGTTCCTGAAGCTGCTGAGAAGAGGTATTGCCCTGGCTCCCACCTCACTCATATGGCCTCTGGCCCCACCCCTACATCTGCAAGACAGCAATGCAGGCCCCAGACAGTCCATGTGCCAACAACCTTCGGCTCTGCCTCCAGTGAACACTGTCTGCCTGCTTGGCATCTTTGAGAACCACAGATAGTAGCATATAGGCTTGTGTGTCCAGTGTCTTTCAGGGAAGGGGGACACCAGACACCCTCACTCAACCAGAAAGTAATTTTCAAAATTCATTGCCGACTCCTCTCCATTGGGTTTCTGAGGCTGTGAATCACATAGGTGGGACTACCCACCTTTTGTTAGAGGAACATCTGGTGAATTCGAACTGCCAAAGAGAGGAAGCCTTCCTAGGCCACGAGATCCCCCTAGACCATGAGCACTGTCACCTGCAGAGAGGCAGGCTGCACCCAAGGCTTTTCATCGGCTCCCTGGGCTTCCACCCTCACAAAGAAGTCTCTCTCTCACCGTCAATACCGCCAAGTTGGGACTGACTCAAAGCTGACCCTACAGCAGGTTTTCTAAATTGCATGAAAGCAGATTGCCCATCTTTCTCTTGAGAGCTGATGGTGGATTCAAGCTGATGGTGGATTCGAACCACTAGAAAAGCCTAACTTCCTATGGACTATGCCACCAGAGCTTAAAAAAAAACAAACAATCACCCTGAGTTTTCTTAAAACAAACTGCAGGGAGGTGCAGGCTGCATTCAGAAGGGAATGTGGGGAATTTCAGAGAAGGGTAGTGAAAACAAGCATGCACTGAGTCACAGAGCATTGCTCCAAGTGGGATCTGGGATCCTACAATCAAGTGCTGATCTAAGTGGTGTTGTCTGTTTCACTAAGACTGAGAAACAGAGAGTCAGGAAGTGGGAGTCCCAGGCGCTAGTACAGACAGACAGCCAAGCTGATTCCCCACATTGACTCACCTGTTCAGCTTCTGTCATTGAGCTCCATGGGCAGATTGTGCCCCTATCTCCCTGAGATTTCAAACAACTTGAGGTCCATCTGGTCAGTGAGACACACAAAGGGGACTGATTACATATACCAATCCCCGGTGGCCTTGTTAGTTGCCCTGGGGATCCTGGTAACCCTTCTTAATACCAAGATCTGCATAGTGGGCTCAAAGCATCTAAGTTCGCCCAAGGCCTCAGTCCTGTGTCCAAGCTGGAGCCTGTGTCCACGCCTTGCTCCAGAGGCTTCCTCTCCATAAGTCACCCTCTGCTAGGTCCCAGAGGGAAGCAGAGGTTCAGGTCACCTGGGGATGTTGTTACATGTTGGCCTACTGGCCTTGGGTAGCCACTGCTGAAGAAGCAGAAAGGTGCAGGGACTGCTGGGCACCTCTGCCCACAAGGCTGCACCCTGGGCAGCAGGAAGACAGTCTAGAAGAGGCTCAGGGCAACAAGGGTATCTGTGCTCCCTGGCCCAGAAATGTGGAGACTGGCAGGACTGTGCATGCCCCAGGGAGAGGGCCTGGGTGTGCCCGAGAGTCCTCTCACCTGAAAGAGAAAGCAGGGAGGGGCAGAAGAGACTGGTTCACCTGACCGGGCACCCATCAAGGGCAACCCATCCAAACCTGGCTCTTGACAACAGCACTGCACCAGGTTTGTGGGGTCCTCCCTGGGCGTTTGCTCCAAAAAGCCTGAAAAGTCTCTACCATCTGCCTCACCATCAATACACCCCAAATATATAACTGGGCTCAAATGTCCTGTTCCAGGACAGCCTCTTCCCACCCAAAGGGCAATGACAAACTTCCTGCCACATATGGGAGGGTCCATGAAGCAGAATCTGACCTTCCTAGAGGAGTGGCATTGATTTGATTGTATCCCCCCAAAATATATGTTTATAACAATAAGATGTGGATGAAGCTAATAATTCCCATCATCTCATAAATCAAACAGCTTTAAATGGATAAAGGATAGAATGCAGTACTCCTTAATCTCAAAACAGCCCTAATCTGATACAATGGGAATTTCCCTAAAGTGTGACCTGCAATGCCTTTAATCACACAAGAGTTAAAAAAAGGAGGAAAGCCAGCAGAGAGTGGGGGACTCCCAGTACCACCAAGGAAGACTTGGCAGGAGTGGGGTGCATCCTTCTAGACTACCATCCCTGTGCCAGGAAACAACTTAACACTAGGGCGGTCAACACTCAGGGAAGTCTCCAAGGAAAAAGGCATCTATGATACTCAGGAATCCAGAGAGAGAGAGGCCCTGCCCTAGAGCTGACACCCTGAATTTGTATTTTTAGTCTCTTAAACTGTAGAGAATAAATTTCTGTTTGTTAAACCATCCACTTGTGGTATTTCTGCTCTGGCAGCACTAGAGAACTCAGACAGGAAGTCCAGAGACACTTCTCCCAGGGAAACCTGGTGCCTTGACCCATAATGCAGGACTCTTTGCTGTGAGATGCATATCATATGCTCAGCCATTTAAGCAACATCATGATAAAAGGAAAAAGAACTAAAGTTGTCAAGGACTTCATTGTACTTGGGTCCACAATCAATGAATCAGCAGTCAAAAAATCAGGTAACAAATTGCACTGGACAAAACCGCTGCAAAGATTCTCTTTAAAGTGATGAAGAGCAAGAAAGACACTCTGAAGACTAAGATGTACCTGCTCCTAGTCATAGTATTTTTCAGTTATGTGCAGAAGTGACCAACAAATAAAGAAGACCAAAGAGTCTTCCAAGTATCCTGAAAAATCTACAACCAGGAGAAGATAAAATAGATGAATGGGACCTTCTAAGAATCAAATCCCTATGCACATCCAAAAACTTCTCCAACAGGATAAAAAGAGAAGCC